GGGGAATACGTTATAGTTGGAATTCTGTTTTGATTAAATTGTGAACACCTTGCCAAAAAGCTGACGCCTCGCTACTGGTAATATGGTGTATTGGAGGAATATTACGTTACAAAGTGAACTTCCAGAATATGCAATTAGATGACATCGATAATGAATGTTTCTATTTAGATGACTACTAGATACATTGATTTAACTTTATTTATATAAAGTAGATTATTAAAGTATTAATATCCATTCTTACAACGCTGCACACACAATCTGAATTCGTAACTAGTTCCAAGACCAAAATGTTTTACTTTCACGAATTCCAATGATACCCACAGACGTACCAATTGAATTCAAACGCATTCAATTTCATTTTAGATTAGCGATGTCTGTTTGCTCTTAGATTTGGACCCACCATGTTTTTCACAAGGATAATTATACGTGATATGTTTTCGTGTGGGCAAGCTTATTTGAATGGCTAACGAAAATATATCGCACACTCTATTGCTCTTCGAAATTAATATTGATTTACTTTATTTTTCATTTTCATAAATTAGGATAACACATATATATTACCTTTTCAAGTTAAATTTAACTTTTAAAAGATCACACAATGAATATTTCGTTACTTTAATGAAATTCATTGAATTAAGGAAACGATTGGTTGGCGTTTTTATTGTTATCATCTGCGATTATCCACTACCGCGCTCAATTCCTCTTTCTATCATAGAACCCATCCCTACACACTTATAATATATTCGTTATCTTCTATTTAAAAAAAAATCACTACAAATAACTTATGTGGCAGAACAACGTTTGCGGGTGAGCTATTTGTATTTATATATTTCTTTTCATTTATTAGTGAATCGAATTATATATTATTTTTCAATTGAAAAGGCTGACGTAGGGTTTTTGTGTTTTGGAAACACTATACTAAAAAAAAATTAATGAAATATTTTTAAGATTGTTTAAATTTTTCTATTTTCTAATTTTTTTTTTATTTTCTATTTAATATAAGGATAAAAATGCATTTGTATTTAAGTGAGTTATACTTAAACTGCATATACTTACATTTTATGGGCTAAAAATTTTCGGTTGAATCCTTCAACAAAATCTGGACAATATTGACTTAATACAGTGCCTGCAGGAGTTCGGGGCCAGCAAAGATAACCATCAAAACGCAATGGACAAAAAATTAACTGTGGTAATGAGTTAGGGCTGCTTGTAGCAATTTCGCTATTTATTGGAGGAGAAGAAATGTATGTCGAAAGTGTATCAAATCTTCCTTCACGTTCAGCTGCTGCATTATCTACTTTCTGCATATCAACCGCATCTTCATACAACATAATCGCATTCATGAACGTAGATGCGGAAGTGAATACTCCTGGTTATTATATATATATATGTTAATATTAAATTTTCTATGATAATCGTATGTTTGATGTTATGTACCTGCCATTGGAGTTGTTTGATATTCAAACTCAGATTCATTTTTAAAACGGATCATGCAATCCAAATACAAATGTGATAAAAACTCGCGTAAATTGTATTTGCCAATATGCGGCTGTTCAAAGAAGATTGCCATATTTGCACTTCTTGCTTTTTAGCTTTTTATATAATCTATAAGTGATGGAAAACGTCACAATAAGTTCGATAAGTTCAGCTGCTGTAAAAACATTAAAAAATATTAATAATTAAATAAAATTAACATTTCAATTTAGACTAAAACAGAATAATTTATTTCTGTATTATGACTAATAATAATTAGCAATTTCGGTTATAAATATGCATTATATTGTCGTAGACTTGCACAAAATATTTGCTGAAATCTTAAATAATAAAAGTTTATATATATTAGTAGATTACACGTTGTTTAACAATTTTCATATTGACTTTGATATAAGCACAAGTGATGAGCCAAATTTCAATAAATTATCTAAACTTTAGTCTACGTCTTTTCTTTGCTATTCCAATCCGTCCATCCCCTTTTGGCAAGAAAAAATTAACATAACTGATTTATTTTTTGTACCTCTTTAAAGCACAACTTGTTTTTGTTTTTTTGTTTTTGCATGCTGGAGTGTGTTTTCCTATCGGTTTCAGCTTGTAAAACAATGTCTAACTTTGTGTGTTATAAACTAACTTTTACCGTTGTTATTAGTTACCGTTCATATTGCTTAATAAATTATATCAAGTGATACCAGTACAAACTATGTTCTGTATCTTTGAATGCATGTTCGAAATTAGTTGTAGTTGCAGCAGATTAGCTGCTTAGTTTATATGACTTCGTTTAAAAAATTATGAAAAAGGAAAGGCATGCTAGGAAAGGAAAAATACATGGCATTGTTGTTATTGTCTTCGCTGACATGCGCCATTATTTACTTGAATTTTGTGATTTTACTTAATAAATCATTTTATATTAATTCAAGAGTTTTAAACTATATTATATTGTGTTTCGGAAAATTTGAAAATAAAGAAATAAATATTTCAAAGTTTTACATGAAAGTAATAAAACAATTTGCTTACAATGCGAAAAACAATGTATTATTCTATCATTATATTGCTTTAATATAAATGATAATAAACTACGTTAATTTGAAATTACATATTTTCACATAGCAACTGACGTATATAAAAATAAATAAAACAAATAAACTAATAAGTTGCTTTTTATTAAACAGTTGTGCTTGTGAGCTATCGGCTCGTTAGTGCAGCTCTCTAATATGAGCAAATCAAAGGCTCACGCTGATGAGCAGTTCTGCAATATGAGCCAATTTTGGGCTCACATAAAAATTGGCTCTGGCTCATGAGTGAGCATATACGAACCTTGATTTTCGGAACGTAAAATAAATTTACGTATTTCTGTCTTTTCCCTCTGAATTCTTCAAAAACGTTTTTTTAGTATTAAAAAAATACTATAACGAAATTTTTACTGTTCGAATGTTTATCGTAAATAAGTTTCTACCTATCTTGCATATACTGATATACTTATGTATCTCAATCTAAGATTTATTATTTTCACATTATTATAAGTCTGAAGTAAGTCATATTAGCAAGAGGTTTAGCCAGCGGATTCACAT